TCAAGTTCAGTTCATCTTTCTATTCGAAATCAGAGGTCTCTAGCCTGACTGTTTTTCCTTAGTGGGGTGGGACTAAGACCACTTGGTACTGCTGCCACTATTGGCCTATTGTACCAGCCCAAGATGATAGATGGTGGTGACTGTGAAGCAATTGGTGGAATGAAAATTGGCAGGAGAAACCGAAGTACTCGGAAAAAATCTGCTCCACTTTGTCCACCACAAATCGCCCATGACCAGATCCGGGCTCGAACCCGGGCCACCACAGTGGGAAGCCAGAGAATAAAAGCTTGAGCTTATGGTGCGGCCTATAGCCTGACTTACTGACAGTGTACTTGAATAAAGCAATGAATGAGTAAATTTTATAATAATTACTTGCAAATTTATTATAGAATTATTTCATCACGACCCAAACAAATTTGTGCAAAAAGTATAGAACGGAAAGAAAGCATGTAACTGGTGACAGGCAACGACACTAAAAATCAAATGAAGTTCAATGTTATGATAGAATACAAAAGACAAACATTTAAACTTACTGCATGCAGAACTCCTTTGTGAACACTATGCATAGTAGTATCTTAACTGGTTCGAAGAAAACTCTGTTGTATCTGACAGAAAATTTTGAACAATTTTGAATAGATTCCATTATTTTTTATGCATGAATTTAATACATGAAGAATAACACAACTACGCAAAAATAATTTCAAACCGACTATAAGAAAAGCACGTTTTTGGCCTATTTTCGTTATTTTGTAACAACTGGTTGGCTTGTATTATTATGCCCGTGTGTCTGTTCCCCTAACTATTTCGGACTATTTGATGGATTTGCATGAAACGTTCTACTAATGCCACCTCACCTTCACATGTTTCAATTCCTTATCATCAACAGATGAAACATGGCGGCCGTGCAAACTTGTGAGCTGGTAGAGACATTACAGCTCCTTCAGCCATGGACATAGCACTTTCTGTGACATTAAAAAAAGCAAAGTCCATGGTTTTAGTCCGCAAGCGTACTATACCGACCGAGCAACCGCCGCTTGTCGTCGAAGTTAGTGCCAACTTTAGCGGATAGAGGTGTCGCGTGGTCAGCGCATCGGATTCCCACGGCCGTTAATTTCGGTTTTCTAACCGGATATCTGACATTATATTATCGAAAATTAAGTAGCCTTCCTTAATTAATTTTCTGCAGAATATAAAACAGTAACATCGCCGACTCGTGAATTCTTTGATTAGTTTTCTTTTTAACGAAGATAACTAACGAACGTCTGAGGAACTTTGTATGGGAACATATAATAAGCATTCATAAAAATTATGTGTAAAATTATGTTTATGCTAGTCGCTACAAAGACAATAATACTGTAAATCACTTAAATTATATATGACAAATTAAATTTAGATGTACTAGGAATTTATACTACCGTAGCGGAAATTATGCAGACCGCCTTTGTGGTCTAGTGGTCAGAGTTCCTGGCTACAGGTCCAGAAGTCCGGATTCGATTCCCGGCGCTACCAGATTTTCTGAGAAGTGATGGGTCTGCAACGGGGTCCACTCAGCCTCGTGAGGATAATTGAGGAGATATTTCAAGGAAATAGCGGCTTCGGTCTAGAAGGCCGAAATTAACGGTCGTGGGGATTCGTTGAGCTGACCATGCGACATCCTTTTTCCACTAAAGTTGGCACCAACTTCAACGACAAGCGGCGGTCGCTCGGTCGGTATAGTTCGCCTGTGGACTAAAACCAGGAGTTTGTTTTGTTGTTTGTATAAGCGGTTTATTCAGATAAGGTTTGATTCTGATGTTACACTCCTCTTTGTTCCTCATTCCGTAAACACAAAATGCTCAAGAATTCCATGCAACAAAACAAACCAATTGCTCATAAATTAAATAAATCCTCAAAACATCCTTGATAATGTATAAGGTCTTGCTACATCTTACGGCATAAGTAAATTCCGACATCTTTCAGGGTCCCACCGAATGAACATGCCAAAGTTTGAACTCAATTTAAGGAGTAATATAATATTTCACTTTGAAGTACATGGCTGACTGTTTTAGATTCTAATTTCCGTTGATTTTCCTGCGTCATCTCCACTAATTTAGAGAGGTGACAGTTCAAGTCTTATGTTACATCGCGCTACTTCTATTATCCACGTTCCCTCGTCACATTTTATGAGATTAGATTATGGAAGGCTGTCTGTCTGTCTGTCAGAACTTAACTGTAGCAGCGAAAGAGATTTACCAATAGAATGAAACAGCTGTTTGCTAAACTAAACTAAACTAAACCGTGTTAAATTCCTCCATCAAATGAAGGCACGGGGAACTTTCAAGTGTTACCGTAAGGGCTTCCTGATAATTGAATTGCTATTAAATAGATGCACATCACTGAACAAACACAGCCTAAATGGCTACTGGAAATTCCGTTAAAACAAACTGATAAGAAAAGCAAATGAAGTAGTCTATTTTAGAATTAACATTCAGACTAATAAAACATGTAACGCTGAATACACATTTGTGCCTTGTTAATTACAGCCCAACTAAGCTACTGCCGCCATTAACATGCAAAATAAACAGTTATCTCCAAGACGTTAATATTTGTTTACACTATGATGTTCTATTACGTCAATTACATATATTGAGCAGATGTCTGCTGCTGGGAGTGCTGATGGTTATGAAAGCGGAAATACAGCGCCGGCTTTCTCAGTTCTACAAGACTAGAAAAGATAGAACTTAACTGGCATCAAGAATTGTGGATTGGTGCGTTCTGATGTGCGTGTCTTGCACACTAATCCTTGCACTGCTCACCCAACTGTCTTATTTAATTCAATAATATTTCAACATATTGTAAAAACAGCAATTTATAACTATTTTAATTTTAATTTCAGTTTTAAATGTAAGGTTTAATCGAAGATGATATTAATTTAAGCGAATATAGAGCATAAATAAACGTACACTAAACAAAGATTCAGCATTAAATCAAAGGAATCGTTGGAAACTAAATTTATGATAATGTATTTTAATCATAACTATGGCGCTTTAACGTCAGTGTTATTCTTGATAAGTAATGATTGAACAGTACAGTACTAGTACTCCCGAAGAATACTGTAGATCCATTAACCCTTTAAAGACTGACTTCCTTCTAAATAATACATAAAGATACAGTTCGAACCTCACAGGAAACACATCACGTCTCCGCCACAAAGACCAATTGGTGAATGCTGTTTACCGTGAAGACCACATGAAACGCACAAATACACTCTATGAGAAGAACGTAGTTTTCCAGCAAGTTAAAGTGGTTGGTGCCTATAGTAACCACTGGACTTTATAGTGTTAAGTTAAATTACGTGTAACAGAATCGCTATGGCATTTATGTTGACGTATTCCAACATATAGAATGCAGCGAGATGATACATACTGTCCGTACTCGTCATTGGTAATAAAATAATGGAACATTAACTGCGATAAACAGTCATATGACCAATGTAAGGAAATGCATTGTTTTTTTTTTTTGCTTCAAGGCTGTTCCAACTAGCATATATTTTGCTCGATAACGAATTCATTTAAAATATAATAGTATTTTTGATTTCACAGTCTAATATTTATGTAACAACACTAAAGAATGTAGAAACAAGCCGATATGGACTACTTTAATTAAAAGTCAACTTTAAATTATTTCATGCACGCTTTACAGTTTTTAAACACATCAACCAGGCAATTTAATTCACAAAACCTTCTATTTATTTCCTGGGTTTCTATAGGTAAGCATATGTATTGAATGAAGCGCTCGTATAAGATTGAAATTTTATTGCATTCGACCGACTTCATCTGATCTACAAAAAGCTATATTAAACTAGTAACAAAAATAATGGGTATCCCTGTAACAAGCCGTGGAGGCCCATAGGGTTGAGTTTCCCACATTTTCTAGACAATCGGCTCATAGATGGCGGTAAGGTTGTCAGCCTTACGCGCCGGCCGCCCTTTACCCCCCCAAGAATATTCCAAGAATATTCCTGGTAATCATTTCTGTCAGAGGGCGAGTCTACCCCAGAACCATAGTGCGGCTGGAAGGATTAGGTAAATTGAAAAAAAAAATCCAATGACTTCATCGGGACTTGAACCCGCGACCTTCCGGTTTGTAGCATAGTGTCTCAACCAAGTGCGCTACCGCGTGCCCCCTACATTAAGCTAGTATCAAGATTAAAGACAAATATAAACAGTTAATTAGATAAAATTACCTTACGTAATTCTGTTAGTTATTATATATGTTTATATAAATTGCTTCATCAAATTTAACCTTCTTTAGATATTTTGCCATAGAATAAATCATACCTCCGCTCCTTACGAATGTAAGTAGTGTATTAGCTCACCCGATCGCCACTGTGAATAATCTACTAAGAAGAACAAAATTAAACGTACAGGTGTTGTGTAATCTAAAATTAATATAGAAATCAGAATTGCACGAGAAAATTAGGTATGACCCACGTGTCATGTATTATTTACAAAATCTGGTGGTTTTCCTGATCAAAATACTTGTATAAGACGTAAAACATTTCAGGCGTAAAAATTAAATCTTGCAGAAGCTATGACATGCACCTTTTATTAACTCCCGAAGTCCTCGTAGAATTATTAAATTTGCTACCATAAATTCCTTTCATTTTCAGCAATTTATCAAGTTTCATGTATTAGTTTAAACTTGTTTAAAACTATAAAATTTATTGCTGAATATTGCATCCATCAGCAAGAACATTTTTTGTGGAATAAGTTACTAATTCTTTCTTGCATTCAATTTTATGAAGAAATTACGCAATGCATATTACTTAATTGAAGCTTATCCGCCATTCACCAAGAACATCATTAATCTAATTATGCAGACTAATGTTACTGATTAATTGTTGTGTTTTATAAGCTGTAATGGTACTAAAGCCAGAAGCAAAAATATTAATCAGTTCATTTACTTACGGACTTATTCCCAATCTTCTAAAAAATTATCACTTTAACGGCTGCACTTACCAAATCACATGTAAGTTCGTTATTTTTCCATACTTATTTGTTCCTGCAATATCGAAACCGTTTGTTTTTCCACAGTCACTTGTTCATCGCATATATTTACAAAATAAAATATATTATTTTCCGAATTATCTAACACCAGTATCAACATCGATGTATTGTCGTCTCTTCCAAGTATCTAGATTCCAAAACAGAATTCAGAATCCTTGCACTTAGTAGCACAACTGTAATTACACACAGAAAATCTTTTCCTCGGGAGCTGAAGTATTACATTTTGCTTCGATATAAACACATCCCATTACATGTTAACAGATCTATGTTCACATCGACACGTATAATAAGGACCGAACACAAATGTCACACCAAATATTCATTCACTTCACCAGTTTCAGATGAAGAATAATTTTGTACTTCACCCGAACGAAGACCAGTTTGACGGTTGTAGACCGAGAAGAACCAATACACACGTCTCCTCCCTTTGGCACTCTATTGCCCACTAACCGCTGAATCTCTTGCTCCCAGTGGAGTAAGAGAGGATCAGCTCCCCTCTCTCTTCCACTCACTCGTCAGTATCAGAGGCAATATTGCGTTAAAGCGAGCTGCAGTTCTGTCTTTACTAGAGAGGGTTTGTATGTGATGTGTTCATACAGCTCCGGGCTGTAGCACTGACGAAAACTTCCAACCCACTGACCGTGACACGACAGCTACTGCTCTCTACTAAACCGACGGCGGGAATGATTTCAGCGGGGCGACACGGCTAGCTGGAACCCGTCCCGCTCGCTTCGACGCAGTAAACTGTTCAGGCATACCAAGTATTTAAATTGCGCGGCACCTCTTGCTGCCAACATTGACACACTGAAGTTCCTAGACGCACGACAGTTTTCTTACACTTAGGATAATGCATAAAAAACATATTGCTCCGGTAAGTGTAATGACTCAGAAAAAATAAAAAAAATACGTACATGTCACGTCACAAGAATGCAAGACAGAAACATAATACAAGACAATTGACCCTGTAAGGCCCAGAGGTTGCTATATGTACCACCTTCTTTAAATACTGGTAGTCTGCATTCTGCCCACAGAGTGTATTTGTGTGTTCCAAATAATTTTTACCTTTCTTCTCCTCTTGCTCTCACTTTGGAGCATAGGGCTGATTTCTCAATTTCGTGATCATTTCTTTACAGACGGTAGGATTTCTTGGACTGGTGATCAGTTCGTTGCAAACACAGACCAACAGAAGCACAGAATTAAAAACATACATACAGCAAACATCCATGCCTTGTGTGGGATTCGAACCCACGATCCCGGATTCCAAGCGAGCGAAAACAGTACATGCCTTAGACCGCTCGGCTACTGTTACCGGCTGTGTTCATATAGTTCTCACAAAATTAGCTATTGTTCCCTTAAACAGCATTAACAGGCTGTTCTTCGTAGTAAAGCAGTAATGTGTTTCCTGTGAGGTACGGACTGAATTTTTATATAGCATTTAACATAAATTCAGTCTTTATATGGTTTAATGCTGGATAAGTTGCAAATGTTCTTTGTTCTATGAGTTTGAAATAATAACAATTCAAACATATTTTAGAAGCTTCTGACTGAGTAATGGATGTAGAAAAGGCGTCGAAAATTTAAAGGGATCCCTAGTGTACCCTAGATAAGTGCGTTTAAACCTCAGAGAATCGGTACTATGTCTCAAATTGAGCAGTACAAGCAACAGTGTACATATGTGATAATTACTGGCAAGTTTAAATATGCCTATTTAAAGCACACAATATAAAGGCTTTGTGTTGTATTCTAACTTAAACGGCATCATAGTCATCCACATTAAACACTGCGATTGGAAAATGTGCTCCAGAAAACATGGCATGGTGTAACTTGTCCAGATATACCCGTCTTCTAAGGAACTGAAGGTTACAACAATCTTGTCACTTCTGAGGGAGGGCCCGACCAGCGCCAAATTTGCGTCCCACTCCTCTCCTGTCCATCGGCGACATAAAAGAATACCTAGGTCACAGGGAGGAAAAACGTGGCAGTGTTGAACAGAAACTCGTTTTTGGTCACTGAAAGTAAACAAAAATTAAAGAGAACGATTGTTACCATTAACAGTCCTGTTAAAGTAGCCTATGAGTATAGATCAATCTCCCCTCTCAGGGTCGAGAGAGAAAAAATTACGGTCATGGGTCCCGCAAGGCACGGAACCGAGGACTCTGCTGGCGAATGGCAGCAGCAATTTACCCGAAACCCGAAATATATATAGGTCGATATGAAGGGGACCAGAAGGTTCATTTGCCTGAGGCCTAGGGGGTGCCAAATATACACTTATTTACTTTAAAATATCAAATCACTGTCAAATAATGTTAGATAAATATAACATGTAAAATACTGTAAATCGTTTCTATCAATAATTTAAATTTTCTTTTAATAAATGGCAAAATATTTTGTATGGCTCTCGGGGTGGACTGGATGCCCCACATTTGTGACTGATCAGGCTCCATCTCACATTTCTTTAGGCTTTTAGCTCTTTATAGATCTTTTTAAGATACAACGACCTTTAGAATTTTGTACTGGAATAAGTAGAGCTACGAACCGGCGACTGTCCGCGGACAATCTGTTGGGAAATATTGGTATAGATGTTTGGTAACTAGAATAGCGATTTTCGTGTTTCTGTTTCTTCGGCTTTCGGGATCAGGTCAAGTCGAACGCAGAGCATTCTGCCGCGGAAAAGTTAGGACGAGAACTTCTCAAGTTATCTTATTCCTAGAAGCTCTTCGTGTTACAGCCGTGAATTAAATAGGCGTATGTATATATGTAGCCCCGCCCCAACCCTGTTGCCTACAGTTATTACAATTTCTTTATGCGGTTACTATTGAAGAACATACGTGTATGAGTAAAATTTTGTTTTAAAATCTATCAACGAAAGTGAAATATCTCAGGAATAATATTAAAAACGTGAAGTTCTGATGTTTTCACGATATGACTGTTCATACGAGTATTATGATACTGTAGGTTGTGATACCAGGTATACTTATAGGCGGATAGCGACGTTTCACAGGAATATGCTGGTTCAATCTTCATGGTTGAAATGTGTAGGGTGAGGAATCAGGAAACTTAATCGGAGGTACCACCTTAATTCCAACTTCCCTACGTAACGCAATTGTGTCCTCGCTCTAGACACTTCGACCCTGAATTGGAGACATGGTCCCTCCGAGCTGTCAGTATCCACCTACAAGACAACACGGTATCATAAACCAGAATGCCAATAGCCGAAAACACGATTCTTGGAAGGGGCCTACACTTTATAAAACAAGTCTTCCATTTCAGAGAGTTTCTGTAATAAGCTGATGGATACTATCCGACACAATTAACATTTAGCGACTGAAACTTTCTCCCTTAGTCATCCTCTGTGTTATATGCCCAATTTTGCAGACCAATTTCAGTTCCCTGGTTTCAGCAACTGCTGGGTGAAATCCAGAAATACAGCCATCTCTCAGCAACACTAATACAATCTCCTCAAGAATGAGAGATCTGTGGGCCCAAAGTGTAAACAATGGGGTTCCGGTGTGCCTGCTCAAGGGACCTATTTTAAAAGTACTTAGGTTTCTACTAGTACATAGCTGCAAATGTCCGAATTCACGGATATTACATACTTAATTGTACTCACATTTAGTTGATAATGGAGACCACTGACTCGTTTCCGCAGCTTGAAGCTTACGTGACTCATCCAACACAGAAAGAGCCTGCAAATTAATATGTACTTGTGTAAATTGTTTTGAAATAAAATTATTGTAAAAATATTATATAATATAATAAAAATATTTTAATCCCAGTTGGTCAAAACTCCTTAAATGGAGGTTCATGTTCCTAAATTCATTCATTCATTCATTCATCAGTAATCTGTCAGACGACAGGTCCACAGTCTCTTCCATAACAGTTCCTCCACTTAATGCGATCTTCTCTTTTTGGGTAGAGACTATCCAGGAAAAGTGATAATGTGGTAGTTTTTCCATTTGCTTTCCACATCGCAGTACAACAGCCGTTCAAACCACTCTGGTCACGCCTGTTGCTATACGAACTTGAACCATCTCGAGCATCATTTGCTGTGTGCTTCAATTCGCTGCTGATGACGCTGCTTCCGGCATCAGTTTTTGGTGTCTCTCTTCGTCTGATGCCTACCCTTTGACCTGTCCAGCAAGGGAGGCCCTGCCAGTAGCTACGCTACCGCTGGGGTAGCTCTCAGGGTCCTTGGCATACTCAAACCCCCTCACCACGATAAGGTGGAGACACCAACGAGGGGGGTTCCTATATAAAAAATTTAATTTCAAATTTTCTTCGATTTTCATCCTTATAAACGTACATAAAAGGGTAAGCCTTGTTCTTCTGTAGTTATGTATGTCGACAAGGCATGCTTGATCTGAGGACACGTAATAATCTATGCCGAAAAATTCCTATAAAGACCAGCACCGTTTTGTTTACACTGTTATTCTATGGCTTATTTTGGTATAAATAACTTTTAAAGTTAATTTTAATAATTAATTCGCTTAGTGGGGGTAGAGTTCAACTGTGTCCACTCGGCACGGCGGCCACTAATTGGCTTATTGTACCTGCCCCGAGTGATTATGATGATGGAGAATTTGGTGGAATGAAGATTGGCAGGGGAAGCCGAAGTACTCGGAGGAAACCCACCCCAGCGCCACTTTGTCCACCATAAATCTCACTTGACCAGACCCGGGATCGAACCCGAGCCGCCGCGGTGGGAAGCCAGCAACTAACCTCTCGAGCTATGGCGCGGCCAACTTTTCAAGTTACCGAGGATAAGTATTTTTGACGAGCCTTGTATTAGTCGGTACGTTGACTCTATGGTTTTGACCACGGAGGAATCAGATTTCAGTTCCAGGCAGAGGAAAGAAATATTTATCTTCTCCACAATATCCAGACAGATTTTGATGTCTCCTCAGCTTTCTGTTTAACGAACATCTCGGGCTCCTTCCTCAGGGGCAAATCTTGCGTACCTGGAGCCAAGTGTGCCAAGATTAAAATGCACGCAGCTATACCTCCACTCCTTCATACTTCACTATATCGTAGTAGGTGGAGGTGAGTGATCAGCTTCATGCTCTGGCCGCTTTACCTTCGGAGGAAGAGCTCAGATACCCATTGGATAGGGGCAGCGTGCGCCCAAGAGCCGATCTGGTCACTTGAAACAAGAGTTCCACTGAGTCTAAACAACGCACAGCCATAGGCTACATCCGAACTGAGTCACGGAGTCGGTCGGGGCAGTTGCCAAATTTAAGGGGTCATAAAATCCTCTTAGTGAAATCTCTTTCGATCTACTTCATTGTAGATCCCCTCTACAACATCAAATTTTCCTGACATCCATTTCAAAACTGTCCTGCCACATAACGGGTTGGTGTAGTAGTAAAGAAGGCGCTACGTTCGAAGCCGGGCCGGGATGTCGGATATGGTGCATGGGAATGTTAGAGATTTTCCTCAGTCTCTCCAGGTAAGTAGAGGATTATGCCCCGGCCGCTTCCTTCCAAATCCTATCCAATTAATCTGTTGCCCTATCTTTCGATGTTACATAGTCCACGTATTATCATCGCTGTAGAATAACCCATAAATAATATTATTATTTTCATGTCTATTGTTTAATAACATTTCAATCATATCCGGGAAAGGATTTTCAGACGAAACATCAGGACAGTTGCACGCGAAATGTGTAATTAGCTTTCAGCTTTAAAGTTATCCCTATATTTAATCAATTAACCACCACGCCACGAAAACTTTCGGGAGAGT